CTTGTGATGAATCTTCTCCCTTTTATTCTCCTTCCAAACAAATTAAAGTCATTTTTTTAAAATAATATTTTATGTGACACATAAAACTCGAGATCAAATTTATTAATTAATATTGCTCACCCTTTTCTAAGAAAGTCTTTTGTTTCATTCAACCCTATTTATATTAACTATTGCTTCAATAGGATGCCATTCATGCGATCCCATGGTGAGGTTTCTTTTTAAATTTCTAGTCAGTTCAATTTCGTACGACGAGGAAGTATAAAAACGTGCACATAAGAGTAACTTGTACTAGACAAAAGAACAATATGTGAAACCAAAATAAAAATTTTTCAATAAAATTTCAAAGAAGACAATTTCATTTATTTTATTATTTTATTTTTATAATGAATTTTATTGTTATTTTAACATAATTAATATATATGATCTCGGAAAATCGAGGGAAAATTGTCAATGCTTTAAATTTATACATGCAAAATATCCATGCCCTAATTTAAGCCCATATTACCAAAAAAAAAAAAAATAGCAGACCTCTTTTTTCAATTTTTTTAATATTAAAACATGACTGTGTGTAATTGAAAAATATGACGTAATGGATATAAGAAATTTGATCTAAGTATATTTTTACATTAACAATATTCATTTTCAGTTTACATTTTTGCATATACTCCCTCCAGTTTGGTCCAGCTTCGTGGTTGTAGTCAATGTTTTGAAAGCTAGACTGAACATTGAGTCGGTAGAGACAGTGGGTCATGATTCATACGGTTGACCACAGTCGAACACTAGTTGGGTTGGTTATAATTAAATATATTAATATGTTAATTATATATGGTATAATACTGTTGACAACATAAAAGTTTTAAGGTATTTATCATTAAATTTTATTGTTATATTTTTAGAAAAACTAATTTTTATTCATTTTATTATATTACTTATTTTATCATTGATGAGTTGAAAAATATGGTAATTATATTATTATCAATGAGTCCATGTGAAAAGAAGGAGATTGGTGAAAATATGTGGCAGTGGATAAAGATTTGAGGAATTGAAAAGGTTGAGTTTTCACTAACATAGTGAACAGTAGTATTAAGGATTTCATTCGAGATTAAGGAGTAAGGGAGACTAGGAGAGATGAAGACCACAGGAGGCTGATACATACTTCTCTTCTTATTAGTGATTTTCATCTTTCACTCTCATAGTGGCTTATTTCTGCATTACAAAGAGGCTGAGATTGAAGAGTTGACGGTGAATTGATATTAGATTTTTCCTCTTATTTTTCCTGATTTCATTTTCCATCTCTATTTCCTTTTTTCTTTCTGGCCAGCTGGCTCTCTTCAAACCATCCCGGTTCCCTGTTTTCTACTGGTTTCTGGCCTAAATACAGGCTGGAAGCAGCTTACTCTGGACAAACCTTTGAAGCGGCTCAATAGTGTGAAATGGCCCGCCATTATTGCCGGTTGACAGTCCGACCGTCTAGTCTGGTCCAGTCTAGTCTCAACAACATTGGTTGTAATGATTCTTGTATACTTAAATTGTAAACCAAAAGCCTAAAGTTAATTAAACAAATTATTACTCTTTACAATAAAAAGCCTATAATACCGCACGCATGCTCTTCATTCTTCTTAATGTTCAGCGATAACTTATTATAGTTCAGACATATTTTATTTTCAATTAAGGGTCTAAAAGGAAGGTTACAATTCGTAGACCGTCGGGTTCACTTTCACTTTGTCAAAAAACATTTAATTATAATACTTAACCGTACCATGTTTAATTGTCTAAAGTGCCTCGCCAATTTTTGTATTATGATGAATTGAATTTGACTCTTTTGGAACTACTGTCTATGACTTGGCCGGCCGACGTGATAATGTTATTGTATCCCAACGAAGATTTGTTTCCTTAAACAATAATGCCCTCGAATATTTTAACTAGACCTCTTTTCTTAATCCAAAAAATAAAAATAAAAAAGCATTTGTGTGTAATGTTTCCAACTAAGCATAGCCAAGTGTCAATCATCAACAAATGATCGGATACATTGGCCATAGTGAAAAAGTGTTGCCCAAATTTGTTAACATTATCTTTTATTCCTATGATTCCAACAATGGAAAATGACACCTTTTATATAGTTACTCTTTGTAAATTATTGGTCATTCGTACCCCTTTTCCCTTGTTTAATTAGCATACAAGTAAACTTGGTCTTGAATCTTCCATGCTATTTCCTTTTTTTAATTATTTTTTTCGGCTTTCGGCCTAAGCTTCTTGTAATTTATCGTTCGTTCATACTAGTATTTCGATATATAAATGATCTCCGTTTCTAATACATATATTTTATGTGCTCCCAGTAAAACTATTGAAGTTTAATTCAAACTCTTTTTTTTTTTTATGATAAAAAGTAATTTTCGATGTGTTGGGTCTCATATGCTCATCAAGATTAGAATGTGCCTCCATGCTTAGAGAGCATTTATAGAGGTACCCACAAATTGCCTACCAACAAGATCCTTATATCGGGAGTGGAATTCAAACTCATAATCTTATGAGTTATGAGCCGACTTCTTACTAACTAGACCAATTCTTGTTGGTAGTTTGTTATATTAGTGCTCACGTTATTTGGCATATTTTCCTTTATTTTTGAGCGTGTATATTGAGTTATTCTCTGCCTACAAATAAATGAATTATTATCTAAATAAAAATGATTATTGAAATTGATTAAAAGCACTAAGTGTGTAAAAAAATATATTTTATTTTGAAAAATGCTTTCATTTGCAGAGAGTGTGAGTGAAACAAAGAATATAAGTAGGAAAAAAAGTGAGAGAAAGAGAGTTGATTAGCGGCATACATTGAATTGATATCGGAAAAAAGAGGAGAGACGTGCGATAGATTTGGATAGGAGCAAAATATTTTATTTTATTTTTTCAATTTAAGACAGATTATTGGCCGCTCTTCTTTGGTTCCATTAAAATGATTAAAAATGACTAGATTTGGGGTTTTACAATGATGCCTAGTCAGTTTGTTGTTTGAGGATTATTGTTCTAGGGTTTTTTTTTTCCTTTTTATTAATGGTACATTTGTTTACTTGATTTTGCGCTCTAAGTGGTCACTGATTATAGAATAATTAAGCTGGTTTCCTAATTGCATATCAAATAGGTAATGCAGATGTTCGTGATTTTGTTTTTATCATATTGTTAGGTCTTGTAAGTTATAGCATTTTGGAATTCTTTTTAGACTTCTTTTCACAACTAGGGTTTTCTTTCTTTCTCTGTACTAAAGAAAAAAGAGGTTAACATGAATAATAACTTAATTATGTTATCACTATATTCTTCACTTTACCTTTCTCACGCATACGCGTGCACATGTGTAGGCCTAACAATTTAACAAACCAATCATAACTACTACTCCCTCCGATTCAATTTTACAATTTTTTTAAAATCACCCTTAATCAACTAAAAGCAATTATTTATGCTAAGACTGAGAGAGAGAGTACTAGGGCCATTTTGAAAATAGGTTATAAATACTTAATTAAATTTTGTCAAATGTCTTGTATATATATTCAGGATCAATAATGAGTATGGTTTTATACATAGAACCGGGGGGAATTTTATCTTATACAATATCAAACTAACTATTTCCAAAAATAAAATTTTTTTTATTGAGTCTTATCATAAAAAATAATCTTTACGGTAAACCAAATGGAGCTTGTATTTAAGTTGGGAACCCCAATTCAAAGTTAAACTGTTTAGTCCGCATATATAAAAGGGATGAGTCATGATGTTTTCGAATCATTTATACTTGAATTAAAAGATTTAATAATTTAATTTTTATCTTTTAAAATGAAAAGTCAGAAGAATGTTTCCATGATCTAAATTCTGTCTACTTTTAAACAAAAGTAGTAAAATCCGAAAGACGCAATCCGATATGGATGATCTAGATGGAGAATAAGCAGTATTCATCAAACCTTGGAGAAAGGAGATGTACATACATCAGAAATTCATGTGGTAAAATATTTTTTATAAAAAGGGACGGAAGAAATAGTATTGTGGACAATCTATGTGTCTATATTTCGATTTTTTTAATACTCAACAGCTCATTCAATAAGGGCATATTAGAAAAACCGAAAGAAATTTTAACATATTAATTACATTTCTTAATTAATCCATATGTGAGAACCTTAAAGCAATATATAATTTTTTGTGACAACAAAACATTATGTTAAGCAAAAAAGAATTGGAGAAAGTATATATATCACTTTCATTTGTCATCCTGAAAAATCTAATAAAACCTAAGAAATTTTTGGGTATCATGAAGAATATCAGTTGTGCAAATCAAATTAACTATGGCTAGCTGATGTGGAGTTTAAAATTAAGACCATATATTTAAGACCCACTTGGCCACTTGTAACTTCAACTCGTTATGAACAAAAAAGAGAAAATCTTAGCATATGTAAGTAATCGTTAGCATGGTGCAATCTGAGTTGGACGCAGGTAGACTTAGAATTTCGATGTACTCAGAAATCAATGTGAAAAGATATTGTTGCAGCTGGCGATTAATGAATTAAATAATAATGAGCTTGAATTTTCAATTGCTTTACAGTACGAGGATATCTGATCAATGTGATTTGCTGTTCAGAGGACATTTGCTGCCCTAGCTGGAAAAGATCTTTGGATTTGCTTCCTTTTTTCTGAGATCCTAAGAAAGAGAGGAATAGCCATTACTTGTTCTTCTTGCTTACTTAAACTTTCCTTTACGCTTCAACTGTTCAAAAGCAATTTTATACTTTTATTTTATAGTGCACTCTTAAGCATTATTATTAATAATTTTTTCGGTTGTCCTTTGACACTCGCAGCTTCAACGACGAGGATCTCAACTTTTCATCAGTTGTCCAAAATAAAACGAATATTCTTGTCCTTGCATTTCACTTATAGATGTCTTTGTGTCTGTTTATCATATATCCGATTATTAAGTATTTTTCACATGGTAAGATCAGAAACAGAATTCTTGAATATTTATACCTTGTGTTGTAACTCTTTAATCTCATCTGTCAAAATTTGATCCTGCAGACCAATTAATGATCAAGCTCAGGTTATCGTATTTGCCACATTTATTAAATTATATTGAATGTGGATATAAATTGAAATGATCTATCATACCTTCTTGGTCTGAACGTTTTTCAAACTCATCTCCAGTTGATTTTCCAAACTTTTCAATTCGTCAATTTCCAAACCAGAAAGTTGTTCACCCATGAATTGCCTATACATTTCCCAAAAGAAATAAGTTACTTCTGGTTCACTAAATTGTTCCATATACTCTTGAGGGAAAAAAGGAGAACATAAAATTTTCCATGTTGAGATCAATATCTTGTACCTGTGCAATTCCTGCAAGTGTTGCAGCTGTTGTCTCAAGACCGTTGCTTCTCTCTGCCAAAACTAACAAGTGCAACAACAGATATAACTATTAAATTGAATCAAGAGTGATGCAATTGTAAGAAGGTACGGGTTCCAACTAATGATACAAGTATGAAGGCCCCTTTCGGTCCAAATCTCTTTATAACATTGTACAATTACTTGTCAAAAGCATTACATTCTTTTCCAGTCTAAATTTAGGGAACTTCATTAATGACTCCCTTTAATGACTTCATTACGGGTATTTTTGAAAACAAAAGAACAAATTGTAGAATATTTAAAGCATTGAACCAACAAAAATAAATTTTCTTTTGTACCAGGAAAAGTGGTTATTTATTTCTTATATTTGGCGATGGAGGGAGTAGTTGATAGTGGCATTTAGTGTAACTAATAAGGGTAATATTGAAACAAGTAAAAATATACTTTTAGTTTTTTAACTTCTTACACGATTTTAGTTTGGTCTCATAATTTTGAAAACTATTTTTTCAGTCCTCTAACCCTAAAATCATTAGTGTCAAATGATAATTTTTTCTGTCATATATGTCATTATTTAAACAATTGAAAAATCAAAATGATGTGATTCTAATTTTCACGTGAAGCTTGCTAAGAGTTCTATGGGGAAAAAAAATACTCACTAGGTCCATTTCCACCCAAAATAATTTCAGAAAATTCGTCAAAGTACACTGATCATTTGGTAAATTTTTGAATTTGCAGTATTTTTGCCCAACTTTGGAAGGGCATAAATCTTAGCAAAAAACTCTACTTTTAGTGGTTTACCACTTGTTTTAAAGCTAAAAATGAGATCTATAAGCCTGTAAAATTTCACGTCCAAATTCTAACAATTGCTCATTATTTCATGTGCCACAAGTTTGGCCTCTTTTAGGGAGATTCTATCCTCTAATGCTACTTTCTTTAATTTATCTTCCATTTTTCTTTTTCCTACACTCTTTTGACATTATACCATTCAATATTCCAACATTTAGACATGTCATATAAACATAATTTACATCACATATCATTCATAATCCATTACATTCTCAACATAAAGTTCATTAATACATTACACAACATAACATAATAGCATCAATTCCATAATTGCTTCTCTATCCCAAAATCATTTCCTTGTCCCTGTCATCGGATGAATCATTTCCTATTTGAGACATAATTTAACATAGGAAGAATGAGATTTTCATAAAATCTCAGTAGCATTTGAATTACACTTATCATGCAAATCAAGCAGGTTATCATGTGAGATGTTATGATACCTCAAGGCATAATCAACCCAATAAAATCATGCTTAATGCCATGGTAAAAGAGAAACATCAACACTTCCACAATGACATAACCCAATGCATTTGGCCAAAGCATAAACCAATGTTATTCACCCAATCCATGCCACAACACAAGTTCCTCTATCCAAGCAAACAACAAATCACATTAACCGTAACAAGCAAGATTAACAATCAAATTATAATTCAACGCTACCTTTTTAACACTTGTCCACTGGGTTACTTCAAGGGACAAAGCTTCTCCTTGGTTCCTCCTCACAATGCCTATCAAACCAAGCATAAACAGAGGCTATATTAATCACTAAACAACTTGATTCCAACACTTTAACATTAACTTAACAATCCCCCCCTTTTTTCTTTGATTTTTAACAAAATGATTCCTTCTTTAGAATCAATCATCTCATGGCTCATCCCTACACAATTTTTCATGAGGAATCCAATGGTGCAATCAGATTTTTGAAATATACTCCTTCCCCATGAAGTTCACTTGGCCGAATAGGGGGTTCTTAATTTCTAAAAATTCCATTTTTGATTCCAATTATTTTAAACACTTTTCAACAACATATCCCTACACAAAAACATGTTTTAAATCCATTGGAATCATCAAATCAAGAAAAATCAAATTGCTTTTGCATGAACAGTGCTGACCGAATTGCTTCCCCTTAAACCCTAACTTTGATTTCATCCAAAAATCAATCCATACACCACTTAATCTTCCTTATTCCACTTGGTTAAAGGTTTCTATCCTTTCCTAAATATCACAAGGTCCAGCGAAATTTTGACAGAATTTTTCCTAATTTTCCAAGCTAAAAACTTCAACTAACCAAGCTTGAAACTTAGGAATAGGAAGGCATAAGCATACCTCAATGTTTTCTTGGTGTATGTTGAATAATTCCTTGTACAAAACACTTATAATTTTTGGTTGAACGGTGCTGGAAGCAAAATGGCAGAACCTCCCTTTATTTTTCTATTTTTCCAACTTTTTTTGTATTTTCTAAGGGGGTATTTATAGAAAAATTCCATCTGCCCTCACCCCTCTTCAATTGGACGAAATTGGACACCTAATAAGGTGTATGTGGCAGCCATCAAGTGTCCAAAATATTCAGATCACTCCATGTGGCTTTTCTCTAGATTTTTCCACAAAAATATCTCTTAATTTCACATTTTATTTAATAAAAATGGAGGGACCTGGAAGGTGCACGAAATTGGGCCCTTATTGGGCTCAATGTGGGCCCCACAAAATTTTTGGGCTGGTCCAAAAAGATAACCCACAAACCAAATCATTATCTCAAACCAATTAGAAATTTTATCAGTTACTAAATACTAGTAACATTCCATAATTTTTTCAGACTTTCAAAAATTTATTTCTCTGCATGATAATTCACCTTTTAATATGAGAGTATGATCTGGAAATTTTCAGAATTTTTCACCACCTTTAGATATTTATTTTGAATTTTTTCCGGTTAGGCCTCTATCGGTAGTTCTTTTTGAAAAAATTATTTTTTGAGTAGATAATGTATTCGCTTTTTGCTTCACCAATAATTTCTAAGTCTTATATGTTTTTCTCTATTATTAGAACTGATGTTTCCATTTTATCTAGTTGCTTGGAGTTAAATATAAAGCACACTGACAATTGCAAATACTTGACATGACTTAAAGAAAAGACATGACTTTTATGAAGAAACCTTAAAAATATCATAGTACCTTAGCTCCTGAAAGCTGGATTCATAAGCAGATGGTGTTCCTGATCTTTTTGTTTATTGTAGCGGTCAATAATTGACTTCATGCTGTCATAATTAAGCAGAGAATTCAATTAATAAGATGAAAATTAAGTTTATGTAAATCTATATAATGCAATTTAATTATATAATGGATCATGTTATAGTATTAATACTTTTTTGGTGCGAATGATTGATTTTTCAGAGTGTTTATCATTTTTTCTTCGTACACATTTAGCTCCCTAAGCACATTATGGGGATAAAAGCTTTATCAAATAATGGAAGGGAATATGATTTTATTGCAACGCTTCATATCTATGCCCTTGCTTTAATAAAAGGGAAAAGGAAAGCAAAGGGAGATCACACTTGGCAATGCATGATCTACGATTAATGCTTAAACTAAGCCAATATAATTACACCTAGCCTTATAAGCCTGTAACGTGCTTCCTGGCCCAAAATAACTAACGACAACATGAATTATTCATTCACATATGACCTCCAATTCTTTAATCACACATGGTCATGTGTCATGTTTTTAAAGTATTATCATTAATTAAACTATAAACCTGCATAAAAAAAGAGAACACATGACTATACGTACGTAATTGGAGAACTTCAAATAATGGATATAAGAAATATGATATAAGTATTTTTTTCCTAAAATATCCCCTTTAATTATTGGTATTGGAACTACCTTTTAATGAAAATCACCCTAACATGTACAATTAATATAGTTAGTTTGAAAAAAGTTATAAATTTTGAAACAAAATGGACTGAGGTCTTAATTATATTTAAGAGCAAAAAAAATAAAAAAACCTAACCAGCTCTTTGATTTAAGGTATGAGAACATGAATATGCGCAAATCATACTTCACTCAATAATTGGAATATGATGTAAAATCAAACTAACAAATTAAAGAAGCAAGCATATTGCATAACAACCATAACCATTTTATAGTGGACACAACTCCCTCCGTTCCTATTTATAAGTTGCAAATTTTGAGAAGGGTGTGATCCATTTTATAAGTTTCAATTAAAGTTTGTCTTAACATTTAATATATATTTTCAATTATTTATTCCTTCTTATTTATCAGACTCTTTCTCATCACATTTCCCTATACATTCTCTTTCAACTTTTTTTTTTCTCATTTATTATGAAGGTATATTTGAAAATAAATGTATATTTCTTACTTATTTATTGCTTTTAACTAATCTTAACTGATTGTTAATCATCCACAAATTAGTTATCTAATGCGTATAATAAGAATCAGAGAGTATTTCAACTTCACTTCATAGTCATGATGTGAGAGGATCCTAAATCACCAATCACCAAATAACAGCCTACTTAATATACATGGGAAGGTAGGCTAGCCAGTAGCCACATGCACTCTAGCCAGCTTCAGATTGATCTGAAAAATTATGGAGAGTTGAATGAGTTTATTAGTGAGGGTATAAATAACAAATTGTGTGAAATAGAAATGATTCCCGTACAAGAGTTTCTCCCCAAAAAAAAAAACGTATGGACTGTTTGTTTGAGTCTTAAAAAATAAGTGATTTTCAAATTTTCCAATTAAAAAGTGATATATTATTTTGATATTTTTTGAATATTGATAGTTATTTATGTTTGTTACGAATATAAAAGAACAATTTTTTCTTGAAAGTGGCTTCTCAAAATATAATTAGAAGCTATTTAAAATAGAATTTAAAAATAATACAAAAATGTTTTCTTTTAAATTGTTTAAACATTAAACAAGCATCCTAAAATTTCTCAAAAGTAGCGATTTTTTTAGTAAATAATCTAAAACAAATAGGCCCTTACTGCCCATACATCCACATAATATGTTCTTTGATGCACTAATACGATCTATAGTTGACTAGGATCTAGCTAGTTAGATATATATATATATATATATAAACATATATATATATATATAAACATATATATATGCGTAATATGTATCATATTTTTAACTATTCATGTACATAATACTGCGGGCCAAAAAAAAAAGAGCTAGGTGGAGATTTTATGTATGTTCCCTAATATAAAATGCCAAGATTCCAATCTACTTTGTCTTTAATGTTTATCTATTTTACCCCCAATAAATATAGTAATTATATATGTTAAGGAGTTTCCACCAATAAATAGTTCTAATACACATAAATAATAAGGACATTTTAAAGAAGGCAACATCCATTTATTACAAATAGCTAATGCAATTAATTTTTTTTAATATCCACAAATTAGTTATTTAACTCTTATATCAAGGATAGGAGACTTGAAGTTGAACTTCCCTTAATTGTCGCTTTGGGGTTACTCCAAAAATTAACCGAATTAATGCAATATAGTGCACAATCCGGGTCGTATTCACTTTGAGGAGCCGAAAACGAAATTAAATCCTAGTAAATAAATGCAAGTAACCTAAACTATAAAAAGGATTTTTGATTTGAGTTTGAAAAATTGCTAACTAAATGCCTTGAATTAAATTGAAATTAAAATACTTTTTTTTTGTTTTTATATAAAAGTGATTAAAATGAATGGAGATTAAAGAAATGAAAATGAGACACACAAATAGCACTGATAAAAATCAATCCTCTAATTCAACAACGCAGGCAATCATCACTCTAAAAGATGTGAGAGTTAAAAACAATGAATTAAGAATTATAATTGAGCTTTTGATCCAACAACTGAGCCACCTCGAATTGCCACAAAATATTTTCCTAAAATCCCAACTTACTAACTGCAACCAGAATAGTAAAATGGGATTAAGGATGCTAAAAACCAATGCTTAATTAGAACTCTTAAATCCAAAATAACAGAATTAAAGCTAGCAAGAGACTATATGATCCAAAATTCTAAGCCACCTTAGAAAATCACAATATATTAATTCCAAAATCAATACAAATGTCATAACCACAACATTATAATTGAGATCAAAACTATAAACAGCCCAATGTCAAATACTAAGCAATACTTCAGTCACAATAATCCCCAAATATAATCAGATTAAGCAATACAATTATCCCAACAATCAGAAAAACTATCCTAAGACCTAGGAATTGTTAAACAATTGTTGAGTAAGAAATTAAAGCAACTAGAACTCCCCCTTAAAGATCCAAGCTCCTGCCATTATTGTTGAATTGGAGAATTATGGGATTAGCCCTGGTTTGCCATGATTTCAGAATCTCCTTCGATCAGTTTCCTCCTACACTCGGCCATGGCAGTGAAGAAGACGGTGGTGATGATGATCCTGTTCACGCTTCTGGTCCTGCCGTCAGCTCCTTCCTTTGCTCTGTTTGCTGTTCACGCAGCTGCTCGCCTCTGTTTCGCTGTCACTGAGGAGGAGGAGGAGATGATGAATAGTGCTTCGCTGGTCTGCCCTCTTCGCTGAATCTCTCTTTTTTTTCTCTCCGCCAGCCAGCTCGTTCGCGTATCAGCTCCTCCCCCCGTCAGCTTGCTCGTGCTTTCTTTCTTTTTAATTTCTCTCTGCCGCCGCTCAGCTTTTTCTCCTCCAGCCCGCTTGCGTCTTGCGGAGATGAGGAATTATAGTATATTAGGTTGGAGGAGGGCAAAACGTTGCGTTTTGCTCTCCCCTTTTATTATTGTTATTTTATTTTTTTAATTTCTTTTTTTTTTAAATCTTCCAAAGACCTGAAAACAAAATTTAAAAATAAGGTAGTATTAATTGTCCTAAAAAATCAATTAGTCATAATTAAACCAAAATATGACAATTTTGCCCCTATAAAATAATAATTCAAAATAAAATAAAATAAATCAAAGAACAATCAATTAAGGCAAAAAGGGACCAATTAAGTTGACAAAACCCATATAAAAGATACCAAAATATATAAAAATAAATGAGTTTGTCAACTCCCCCACACTTAGCCTTTTGCACTCCTGGGCAAAACATCATTAAAGAAGAATCCAATAGAGACACTCAATGCAAGCAAACATAAAACTAACTAAGCATGAGTGTGCAATTAACTCAAGCAATCTTCATTCTTAATTAATCAACAATCATAGAATACTTCAGTGCAAAGAATTTAACACCTGAAACATAGCAGGATAAAAGAAGAGAAACATAATAGAGCTCACATAGGGTACAAGTGTTTCACTCATCTCTCAAATGGAAAAAATTTCACTCAATCCACCTAGATTAGCACCTACCATAAGCTTGTAGAAATTCTAATATCTCCACCACTAGCATACCTTAGATTCATGATCAAGGGGACTTGAAGGGTTATAATGTTGGAAAACAAGGTCAAATGAATGAAATGAACTAGCAAGTGAAATGCATGAGTAATAAGTATCAACTCAAAGTGAGCTTAAGTACAATCATAAAAGAACACCAAAGTGCAGATTTTAAACTTTTGAAACAGAAATCATTGCTCTTCAAACCACCATGGAATGCCTTATTTCAAATTTATTCTTTTGTTGCAACTTATTTTCTTTTGTTTTTTTTTTAACTTCCTTTCTTTGGCTTTTTCTAAATATTTTCTTCTCTTTCTTGCCTTTTTCTATTTCTCTTTTTTTTTCTTTTTTGCTTTTCTTTTTCTTTTTCTTTGGCATCCAAACCCAAGAAGGCAAAGATATAGACATTAATGATGTACTTTTCAAAATGAAAAACCAAATATAACTCATGCAAAACACTTGCTAAAAAAATAGTGAATGGAATGAAAGTGAAGGCTCAAAGGGGGTGAACAAAGGTTAAATAAAGTGGTTTGTGTTTGGGTAAAGGTCTAGAAATGAATGCCCCTATCATCTTCACAAATCTAGATATTAATGTAGTTTTGAAAAAGAATTTAGACAAGTTCTAGAGGTTAACCAAAACCAGGTGAAAATCACACAAGATGAGAAAGAATATATGGCTCAACAATCCTTCCATCAAGGCTTTCTCCAAGATGTTTCCTCCTTAAGAATCAAGCTATGAAACAAGGTTAATAACACTGCACCAAGAGTATTCTACTATGCTAATCAACTAAGAACAGAAATCACTCAAATCAAATGCAATCAAACTCAGCAGTGCAACATTCACAAGCATTGTGCAAAAGGATTTTAAAAGAGATACCCAAGGATTACAAAAGTCAAGTCAGCAACAGAGTGAACAGCAACTCGCCCATACAGCAGTGCAGAACACTGAGGCGAATGAAAGCAAGAGGACATAGAAACTAGCAGCAAAATTCCCAAGCAAGAATCACTCTCAAATCATGCGATGCAATTCAAAAATCAACCAATAAGGCAGAGAAGAGAGCAATTATAGCAGCAATACTTAGGAAACAGGAGCAAATCCAAAGGCAAAATTTTTTTTTTGTTTTTTGTTTTAAAACAAAACCTAACAAAACATAACACTTACTCCCCCACACTTAATCCTTGCATTGTCCTCAATGTAAGTTTAGACTAAAGATATGAACAATCGGAAGCTCAAAATGTGCAAGGACAAGGTAGGGAAAGTACTGCATGCAACTAATAACAAACAATAAAACAAAACACAAGCTACTTTTTACTACTGGCTATGCCCCTCCCCCACACTTATCTCACAAAACAAGCAAGTAATTCAAAAGATAAGAGTTAAGGAAGGAAAGGGACAACCTTTAGAACGAAATCTCTTCAAGCACTTGTAAGAGAAGTTCTCATCCCGGATGAGAAACATATATCTCTTTAGTGTAGTCACTTCTCCATTGACATTTCTTGGTGGTGAGGGTTCTTGCAAGGGAAACATTGAACAAGCAGCAGTATCTAGTCCAAAAAGAAAAACTTGGAAAGATCTAGAGTAGCATAGGTATATCTGAGTGGCAAAATCTTCCAAGTAAATATCACACCCAAGAAAGTCAATAGGATTCCTTTCTATAGGAATCAAATAATCAGAAATATTTTCAAAAATGTCTTGTGTATGCAAAGCGGAAGATGAAGAATCCAATTGACAGTGGTTGGAGTACATCACATCACTTTTACTAACACAAGAAGTGGGTGAAAAAAGAGTGGAAGAAGAAGAAGATTCATGCACAATATGATTATGCAATGCAATATTATTATTTTCATAGCTACTTAAATCAGGAGGCAAGTCACAAGAAAGAATTAGACGAAAAGATTCATTCTTATTTACAATTTTGTCTTTTAAAATTTTTGAATCTTTTCCTACTAACTCATTAGAAGCATGCAACGCAATGAGATTTTCAGAAAGATAATTTCCAAGGCTATGTTCAAATTCGCATTTCTCCACAGGATTAACATCTAAGCAACTCACATCAATATCATGTTTTATATTGTCAGCACTTTTAGTACTAGAAGGCGATGCACACAGTTTACTAAAGTTCTGCTTTTGCAACCCAACAAGTATATCATACTTGTTATCAATGCAATCCATGCATATAGTGTGGGCATTACAAGAACAAGATAGAGGTTCGTTCAAATCAGAATCAACTGCACCATCTAATCTAGCACTAGAAAGAGAAGCATGTTCTTCACACAAAGAAGCAGTGACAGTGTAAGCAATATCATCAACTAAACAACTACTATTAGAAGTGTTCAAGTGAGAATTTTTATTGTTAAGCATTTGAGGGGATTCAACTATGATTTCCTCATCCACCTCATCATCACTCACATTATCAATAACTTCAACAAGAATAGTAGTTCTAGCACAAGGGTCAATCTCCTCAAGAAGAGGAGCAATATTACCTGATGTAGGGCACGAGTCCTTGTGAGTTTGTAGATATTCTTGCTTCATCTCAGCCTCTTGCATGAGTGAACCTAGACACTTTGATTCATCTTTCCCAATCTCAGACTCAATTCGCGCTATATCACTCAAGAACTTTCCCAATGCACTTTGACATTCCTCTAATTCCTTAGAGATCCAGATATCTCTTCCGCTATATCTCTGCCGCCGCTCAGCTTTTTCTCCTCCAGCCCGCTTGCGTCTTGCGGAGATGAGGAATTATAGTATATTAGGTTGGAGGAGGGCAAAACGTTGCGTTTTGCTCTCCCCTTTTATTATTGTTATTTTATTTTTTTAATTTCTTTTTTTTTTTTAAATCTTCCAAAGACCTGAAAACAAAATTTAAAAATAAGGTAGTATTAATTGTCCTAAAAAATCAATTAGTCATAATTAAACCAAAATATGACAATTTTGCCCCTATAAAATAATAATTCAAAATAAAATAAAATAAATCAAAGAACAATCAATTAAGGCAAAAAGGGACCAATTAAGTTGACAAAACCCATATAAAAGATACCAAAATATATAAAAATAAATGAGTTTGTCAGAGGTAGTATCAATATGGCTTACGCTTTTACAATATAAATAATAGGGAAAATCCCAAAAAAGTGACCATTGAATTTCAAAATGACAAATCAGTATTGGTTACTACACTTATAAAGAAAATGGCTACACTTACAAAACAAATAACAACATATTTTTGTAGTAATTCCTCATTTGTCATTTTGAAATTCAACAGTCACTTTTTTGGGATTTTTCCTAAATAATACTAACTGTAGATATTTAATTTCAGTTAAAAAAACAATGTTGATATTTAATGTCTTATAAAAAAATATAAAATATATATCAGATGTTTTAATAAAATTATAAAGATGTGAACTATTTAGCTCAAAATTTAATAATTTAAAATTATTTATATAATTTTTGGTTATTTGATATCAAAATAATAGTTTTATATATAATTAAATATCAACCGTCCAGAGTTGATCTAATAATGAGAATGGGAAAAAAAAACGAGTGGAAAATAAGAGAGTAAGGAGGTTTCCTTTCCAATATAAGTCACATTGCAAAATGCCTAGATCATTACTTTTATTGGCCCCATAAACACCCGTCCTTGGGAAATTGTTTTTCCCTCTGGAAAAAAAAAAGATATTAGAATTAAATAGATATGGTTTTGGAAAAAAAGATCTCCCAGCATTTTGTCTTTAAGACTATATCAATCATTATTAGTTGAATAAAAAAAACAAAAAGAAAAGTCCATGTTCAAGTACATATTCCACTAAGTAAATCATCATTTAAAAAAAAAAATTGTGCCTAATGTAATATGCAGTTCAGGGATGGTTTAGATTTCATTACAAAATATGATATGAATGATTTAGATTTAAAATTTGTAATCTACAGTTTTTTAATAATAGATTTATTTTTTAAAAAAAAAGATTATTTATTATAAAATTATCTTTATTTTTTAAAAATCTAAAACTCGAAAAGAAATTAAATTGAATCTGGATCATTTAAAATTAACCTAAGTTATCCAAATCAACTTGAGCATTCCGTTCTCAAAAAAGAAAAGAAAAAAGAGCACGGAATGTGCTACAATATGTGCATGCACAGTTTTTTTAGTTTATAAGGGGAAAGGGTATCTATAATCTTCTAATTACATATTACCATGAGAGAATAGAGAAAATAAAAATGACAAGGGGAAAACTATAGACAGATAGATAAAGGGCAAATTTCAAGCCTACTCCATTTCTATTTATAAACACCCTACTAAATTCCTTTTTCTTTATTTTTTGAATCACAGTCAAACATAAACTTACGATCCTCTTACTTACAGAAGAGTATTCATGCTATTTGGTTATACGGTCACTGATGCTCTCTAGATACAATGACATTTGTTTACGCAGCAACTTCAACTTTTCAGATTCCTTCTCAGAAGATGCTACTGCCAATGGTTAACGTCTTCTGTATATCTTTGAACTTTAGAAAGAGCAATTGTAAATGAGTTTGCCAGTCTGGCGAGGTATGTGGTAGTGTACACTTTACAGGATAGGTCTTACTAATAAGAATATATATATATATTATAAAGAGGGAGGATTTTCTGATATTCTATCTAGCCTTGCTATATACTGATAACATTACGATTCCCACACTTACGCATGCATGTGGATAATATTCCAAACACACACACACACAAATCCTCTGATCTTTTCATATTTTTTTCTGTGTCATTTCTTTTGGTTTCTTAAGCTAACCTAGTAGCAAATTTATATTGCATTGAACAGAACAAGAAGACTACTAGGAAACAATAGCATTTAACATAAGCATAGATGGTGACCTGTGTGGCATCCAATAATGATATTCAAGTTGGTAGCCAAGTCCTACATGGCAGCCATGCCATATGTGGCATTCACAGTCATCAGAGTGGTGTCCATGTCATCCAAAAGCGGTTGCTTCAATCCCAAGATCTTCTACATGGCATTGAAAGCCCAACCACTAGAAGTCCGGTAAAGAGTAAAAGTATCAAGAGGCTGGAAAGATCATTTGAGTACAAAGCAAAGCATGAAGTTCCATGAAGTATCAAGAAGAAGTTGAATAAAGATTGCTATCCAGTTTCTTTTATGACGAGCATTGCTTTTCCTTTTTTTTTGGTTTCATCTTTTTTGGATTGAATACCTCGTAATAATTCGGGTTATTTTTGTAGCTTTAGACCTAAGACTTTGTTGGGTGTCCAAATATGACTCTAATCTCGCAGTAAAACTTTCTTATGCAGCAAGCGTGCCGTACTTTTTAATGAATGATTCAACCCAAAATTCTAACACATGTTACTTGTTCACCTAAGCAAGCATGTAAGAGGCGAAAAGGAAAAAAAAATGGCTCAACATCCAAAGCTAATTAAGGCATCAAAAAACATATGTTAATGGAAAGTGATTAATACAAAACCACAAGAGAAAGAAAAAAACAGAGATGATGATATACAGCAATCTTTAATGCATCAATGTCAGGCTCGCAGATGCTCTCCAATATATGCAAGTGGGATTATATTTCCAAAAAAAAAAACTGTTAATTTTCTGCTACCATTCAGATCAATCTGACAGAATATCATCATATCCAAGATGGTTTTTTCATCTTCTTTTTTTTTTTTTTTGCCTTTTTTTGGGGGGGGGGGGAAGAAATGAGTCTAGACTAGAGGCATATTATCTGGATCAAAAGAGAGGAGCACCCAGAAAAATGCGGTGGTAGCTTTTGAAAAAAAGAAAGAAAGAAAGAAACAACAGCAACAACAATAATAAATAAAATAAATAATGAAGGTGGGAAGAAGAGGAACCTGGAGCTTCCATATTAGCTTGCCGGTGCTAGAGAAGACGGTGACCCCAACTTGAGCGTCACAGAGGATGGCAAGCTCCTTGGCTTTCTTGAGCAAACCACTTCTTCTCTTCGAGAAAGTGACTTGCCTGTTTGTTGAATTGTCAATCCTCTTAATCGCAATCTTCCCTCTCCCCATTCTTCTAGGGCTTCTTCACACCTTCACCTTCCAGATCAACCAAACTACAACCACCCTCAAATGAATCAGAATAATGTCCCAAAATCACAGATAAAATAAAACTCAAAAATAATAATAGTAGTAGTAGTAAAAATAAGATCGTGATAATTAATAGTGTGTATAAAATTAGAGAAAGAATTAAAAAATTAAAACATATCATATTATATAGAAATTTCTCTTTTTGGTGATTTTCTTCAACTGTGCATCCAGTCACATCTTGTGGATAAAATCATAAATATAAATATCAATATTGATTGAAACATATATAAAAAAACATAGAGTAAGTCATTTTCTAACTTCATAGGAGAGTTGGAAGAAATATTATTTTTCATTCATTTTTGTTGTCATGGAAGGTTGTCAAGAAATTATTATAGGTAAATTATTTTAATTTCATGTAAGAAATTTTCATTGAGTAACTTAATATATTTTGGCCAAAGAAACTTAAGAAATTTTCATTGTGTAACTTAATATATTTTTGGCCAAAGAAACTTAATATACTTCCAATGTTAAGAAAATAAAAATAACTTTATAAATTTAAAGGGCCAAATTAACATTTATTCTAACATCAAAAAACTGAAAGCATGGTTCTTCCATGAGCATATTCCTATTCCCATTTGGTATAAAGTATTAAGAATATATAAGATTGACAAGATCTATTAAAAAAGTATTTAATATGAGGAATTGCTTATTATTTAAAATTGGACTAAGCCATGTAGGTGGGATTAGGTTGACCAATCCTAAGTAACAAGCAATCTCACGTACAATTGACCTTTTTCAATTCCAATTCCATTCTTGTCTTTCATTCTTAATACTTCATATCAGACAGGATCATAAGTTTCGAAAGCTTAAATTCTGAAACCTCAATTATGTAAATTTATAAAAGTTATTATTTCTTAAATGTATTATTTTCACTCGAAGCTGAAAACATAAAAACTATATCAAACGTCAATGTAGCATAACATAGGCAAGTTGCATTTGACAAATTCGCCTGAAAAGATGTAACATTGACTTTGATATAATTTTAATGTTTTCCATTTTTAATTAAAATATAAAGAAATATATGATAGCTTAGCATTACATAAATTAAACATTTTGAGAAATCTTACTAGTACTAAGAGCTAGAAAACTAATTTGAAGAGGTAAAAGAAATTAGTTAAATTAATTAATTATAACAAATATATTTTGACTTTTCTAAACTACCTTTTTTAATCATATATTACCTCCGGTCCTTAATATAAGATTTCATTTGACTTTTATTTTAGTTCTAAATATAAAACTCCTATCTACTTTGTCTCTCATATTTATTCATTTTTTTTAAGATAGTCCTTCTAATAACGATAGTTCTAGCCAATAAACTTTATTAACAAGGATATTTTAGGAACAACAATATCTATTTATTACAAATAACTAACTTAACTTATTTTCTTAATCTCCTCAAATTAATCATCTAGCTCTTATATTTAGGACCGGAGGTAGTATGTTGAAACTATTTCTTAGTTAGAACACTTTACAATTAATAGGAGTATTTTAGATAAAACATTATAGATTTGAAGACAAAGTTGATTGAGGTGTTATATTTAATACCAAATTTAATCTCTCAACTAGCTCTTATAGTAACACCTGGAGACAATATAATTTACCCCCAAAAAAATTATCAAATTGCAAGAGTACTATTTTGTGCCATTTGGGTCAACCCTAGTGTTTTTGGGTCCTTCCGCGATTGAACTAATTATTTTTGAAAAATTGAAGTTTTACTTCCAAGAATAAGTAATGGCCCTCACGTTTAGCATACAGGTCATTACCCACCACTCTTTCATAGAATTTTCTCCAACCTAAAAGAATTGTCCAAATTTATAATACACTGCCTCCTTTCTAAAAAAACTACATAATTAATTTAAAAATATTAAAAAAAATTAGTTGAGTTGGTCATTTATAATAAAAGTATGTTGACTTCTTTTTTTCTATCCATATGTACCTTTCTATTGAGAAAGTCCTATTCGAGGCACTATTAGACATTAAATGTATGGACTTTTTTAAACTATCATCTTTAATCATATCTCTCTCTAATCATATTTGATGGTGGTTTTTTTATAATTGTCAAGTATCAAATGTCAAATATTAACAAATTTATAGTAGTGAAGATTATTTAATTATCTAACGTGACTGGTTTCAACTTTTAAGTACATACAAGACTTTGCATGCCACAAAAAAAAAATCACATATATACACGAATTTTTTGAAAGTCTATCCTTGCTTCACTGTTAATTAATTCGGCCCAAATTAATGGCCACTAAATAGAAATCATTAGGACTCACAAGGAAATAAAAACATCGGTGTACAATGCATATTTAAAGGGCTATAATTATTACATGGAAGAAAACAAACACAAATATGTGAATAAAACTACAATAATACGAAAACAAGGATTCAAAAAATGCAAATGGAGAAGAAATGGCAAAATACACTAAACTAACATGAACTCCAAAATGTTCAAAAATGAAGTGAGGAGGCATAAAAACTGACAAAGAAATCTACTATATTTTTGGATGCCTTCAGGTGCTTTCTTTTTTTGCTCTCAACTTTTAATTTAGTTGAAGCTAAATTATATATCTCTCATGAGCTTTATGCCATATACAAATAACCGCCTTAATATTTGATGAAACTTTACAACAAACTCCCCTATATAAACTCTTATATTTATACAGATAACTTCCCTGCGATTAGTTTTGTTGATTGTTTATCCGCACATAACTTCAAATTTAAGAGGATTATCTGCATGTAACTCAAAGTTTTAAGGACTATATGCACACGCAAAAAAGTGAAGGAGTATATAATTAATAATTAGGGCTATCCGCACAAATTTAAAAGCTTAGAAAAGTTCATTATCAAGTTATAAAAATTTAAAACCTAAATCGACTATAGAATTATTAATTAAAGTGCTTAGGAAGTTGAGTACTACGGCTCTTTTTTACAATTTGTTTATTCTGAAGTTGCATATATGACAAGTTTCTTGAGCTCCGATCAAAACACAGAGGTCATTCCTGATTGATATCAGTGATAAGTGACAAAAGAAACGGCATTCAGAAGAAATTAATATTCATTAAATATTGTCAACTCTTCTGGAAAATTCCTTTTTTTAATATTTCATTTATATATATACATATATATAGACACACACACAAACAGCCTCGATGAATCAGTACGGCGGTATTTCATATTAACAAAATAGCAGGCCGTGCATGTGAATTCATGTTGTGCTTTCTTTTCTTAATTCTTAGTCAATGTGCAATTTGGTAAGATGGTGAAGTTCAAAAATAATAATAATACTTTTTTCTATTTTAAAATAAAAAATGAAAAGCGTACTTATTGGCTAAGAATGAGAACGATTTCGTACGAAAACAAAGTACGTCATATAATAAAAATAAAAAGACAAGCTCTATGGTTTTCCCGCAACCTATGTCATCCCATTTTCTGTTCCATTTTTTTTTTTTTTTTAACCAGCTTCTGTTCCAACATTAAACATGCACATGTGACCCCAAAAATGGCTGTCTTCTGCATGTAACGAGGTATAATTAGCAAAAGCCTGCCTTCCTCGAATATACAAGAGCAGTCAATGTTTGGCACGAAGATACTTACAATAACTATACGGAATTTCATCATATTTTGTTGGGAAAAAAAAAGGAAAAAAGAATCCTATTTTGAAATATTTTAAGTATAAGATTATAATTGATTTTGTCAATAGCTAGCCTTCTAGCTAACTTAGTGGTATAAAAGCTCTTCAATAAGTTGAAGCTTACTAGTTTAATCTGGCTTATAACCTCAAACTGTTAAACACTTTGTTTTGATTATAAAGATAACATCACAATTTCAATAACCTCTTCTAGCCTAATAGCGATAAGTGGAAGATGTGACAACTGTTATTCTAAAAACATATTTAAATTAAATCAAATAATTTATTCAAAAGATTACCTATGATAGAAAAGAAGAAACCTTAAAATTATAAAATTACTATCATAGTTAAAAGGAATAAATTTATGTCACAAGTAATATCAATCATTAACCTAGGCCTTGGACTTCCAAAATGCAGAAATACTATTTAACTATTAGCCCAAACAAAACTCATACCTTCAACCATATGAGCTGATAAATCATTTTAAAATAAGCTATGGAGTCTATTAATCAAAAGTCAACACTTTCAAAAGAGTGTCACATGCAAAGTCTTAGAGGCTTCTAGCCTTCTAACGGTCCTCCCATCAAATAGCAGCAATCAAAAGTTTTAGTTTACACATCAAAATAGATGAGCCCTATATGGCAATATCTAATAAATCAGCCCATAAAACAAGAAAAAAAGGAGGCTATACAAACGATAACAGCACACTAAGCCTTCGGGGCCTTCCCTGATAGACCACTACCTGAACATAGTAGAGACCATGAGGTGAGACAAAAGCCTTAGTAACTAGCTTTCCAACTCATTATATATACTAACATGTGCTCATAGGATGTCAAGTGGGACAGTTATTAATTCTCAAGAAATATAGATATATCAATAGAAATATAAAACACATATACTAAAATAATCTAAATCATCCAAACCCTAACTATGGGAACTAAAACACAAGCCATATAAATTTATCTCTCACTATGAGAGATTAATCAGACATATAGGCCTATCCCTCACTTTGGGGGACGAATAAAAAGCCACAAGAGAATATCCCTCACTTTGGGGGATGAATGAAGCCATCAACTAATATGCACCAATGGCAACCTTACCACGTGACAAAACAGAAATCAACTTAAAATCCAAAAAACAACCAATTATTCACATAATATAATGAGAAATATCTCAATCTTTTCTCAATATAATCCATAAGATATAAATTATATAGTTTTCCAAACATCTCAGTCACAATTCCAAAAGTCCCACAAGACAATTTTCATAGCTCATGAGGTATAACATATCTACTCGGGTT